GCTTCAGCTTTGCATACAAGACGATGGAACATCAGTCACCTCTTTGTGTTAGCTGATTTTTTTTTTTTGCTAGCTAATCTTTAAGCTTCAACCTCAAAATTTGCTGAGCCAAAATGTTCTCTTAAAAATGAAAATGCTGCCCCCAAGAAATTAATTTTTTTTTTAAATTACAGCCTTGGGGGTGGGAGAATGAAAATGCTGAACTATGTGAGGTCCAAACTTCAGCTACCGTATGTCAGTGGTTCTCAGCCTGTGGGTCAGGACCCCTTAGGGATCAAACGACCCTTTCACAGGAGTTGCCCGATTCATCACAGTAGCAAAATGACAGTGATGAAGTAGCAACGAAAGCAATGTTATGGTGGGGGGTCACCACACGAGGAACTGCCTGAAAGGGTGGCGGCGTGAGGAAGGTTGAGAACCGCTGGTCTGTGATCACTATGGTTTTCTGCCCGTTCCTGCTCTGAGCCTCAGTGCTTCCATTTGTCTAGGCTGATGGTCTTCTCTCCCTGGCTGCTCTTTGAGGCTTTAAAGGCTTTTACGTGGACAGCATTCCTGTAAATTGTATGCTTTCAGTGACTTGGGAAGGCAGCTGCTTGAGTTTTGTTAAAATTTTGATATTAACTCTGACCTCAAAAATCGTTATTTCTGGCACAAAAATACCCCCCCCCCAGAGGACACTTTAAGGTGGCTAAGTTTTTAAATATATATAATTTTACTGGGGGCTCTTACAGCTCTTAGAACAATCCATACATCAATTGTTTCAAGCCCATTTGTGCATATGTTGCCATCATTTCAAAACATTTTCTTTCTACTTGAACCCTTGGTGTCAGCTCCTCTTTTCCCCCCTCCATCCACCACCCTCCCACCCTCATGAATCCTTGATCAATTATATATTATTTTTCTTTTTTTGTGTGTGTTTTTAAATCATTCTATTGGGGCTCATACAGCTATTATCACAAGCCATACATCCATCCATTGTGTCAAGCACATTTATATATATGTTGCCATCATTTTCAAAACATTTCTTTTTAGTTGAGCTCTTGGTATCAGTTCATTTTTCCCTCTACCCCCACCCCCCTCATGAACCCTTGATAATTTATCTTTTTTTTTTTTTTTTAATGTCTTACACCCACCATTGTCTCCCTTCACCCATGTTTCGGTTGTTTATCCCCCTGGGGGGGGGGTATGCACTGATCATTGC